CATCACCTTCTCCCATTCATTCATTCTTTCCATCCCATATTCATTATCGTATCATATCCCTAGGACAAGAATTGGGACATCTGCGATTCAATCAAGTCTCGTATCGAGCAGTTCAAGAGAACCATGCCACTCATTCAGGACCTTAAGAACCCTGCTATGAGAGAAAGACACTGGAATCAGATCAAGGGAGAAGTACAGAAACCATTTGATCAGAATGGTAAGGAATTATCCTTTGGATTTGGGCCTGATATTAAGCATGAGTGGAGTTTGTTAGATCTCCATTGATTTGAGGGTTTTCCTTAGGTTTTCTGGTTTTTTTCCCTCCGCAAAACCTCACACGCTCAATTTCAATTTATAACAATCTTTGAATTAGCTGTGTCCTACTCCTGACTTAGGTTAACCGAGAGCTTGATAAATAGAGGTTATCAGTATGTAACAAGTCAAATACTAACCAACATCATTTTATATATATTATTGATATATGCACTATAATTTGATATTTTGCGTTTTCTGGACCAATCAGAGCAACTCAAACATGTACTCCAGCCAATCAGAGTGCTTTAATATGACACTCTTATTTCGTTCCTTACCCTTACATAACTTGTCCTCGTCCTGGTAGTGCCTCGTAACTTGGTGTTTTCTATCATTGTTTTTAGCTGATGACTTTACCCTGGAGAAAATTATTGAGCTTGGTTTGGATCAGTTTGTTGATAACATCAGTGATATATCTGGTGCAGCAAGCAAAGAGTTGTCTATAGAACAAGTAAGCTGTGCTGTAAAATATAATGGGGTGTGATGGAGGAGGGGTAGGTGGGTCAGTTTGTTGATAACATCAGTGCAGCAACGAAGACCTGCATATGATACAAGTAAGTCAGTACTTTGATATTCTTCTGACTTTGGTCCAAAAATTCATTTTTAGGCCATTGCTGGTATCGCACAAGCTTGGGAACAAATTAATCTTGATATCGGTCCGTACAAAGATCGTGGACACTTCAAACTCAAGTAAGTTCTTCTCTGTATAAGTAGAATTGATGTAGTGAATCCTGAATACGCTCTTATCACTCTTTATTGATGTTACCAGAGCCACAGATGACGTCTTCCAGCAGCTGGAAGACAACCAAGTCACACTGTCGACCATGAAAGCATCCAGATACGTCAAAGCCTTTGAAGCTGAGGTAATACAACAGATCCTATGGAGATACTTTTGTCGATAACCGTTCATAGTCACCCGGAGAAAATAACTCATTCATTTTCATTCCAGGTCGATAAATGGGAAAGAACTCTGTCTCTAATCCTGGAAGTGATAGAGATGATCCTGACTGTACAGAGACAATGGATGTACCTTGAGGTAAACGCATAATGTCAGTGCAATGATAATATTAAAAAGGATGATGTATTTATTGCCGTAGTTTTATCTATTTACTCCTGATGGTCAGTAAAAGCAATAAAGATGATTATCATGATGTTTCCAATGTTGAGCATGAATGATAATGATGTTGGTATTCAGGGGCGTAGTCAGGGGGGCAGCCAGGGGGCAAGGGACCCCTCGCTACCCCCTATCCTCACGCGATGTAGTCACGCGATGTCCTGTAAACGGGTCCCGCCAAGGCAAAATCCTAACTACCCCCTAGTATTTAGCGATAATAAGTTGTGGTGAATGAAGTGAATGATGATTATGAAAATCAAGCTGTTGATGGTGAATGATGACGATGCTAAACTTAATGAGAAATACTGTTGGTGATAATAAAGTAGTGGTATTATCATAATAAAAGTAAAGATGATTGATGGGAACGATAGAGTGATTGTGAACTGTGATTTTTTTCATTATAAATTTATTATTTTTTGATTAACAGAACATTTTCCTCGGGGAAGACATCAGAAAACAGCTTCCGAGAGAATCGGCAGAGTTTGACGATGTGAACGCACACTGGAAGGTACGAACATATTGAAGTGTCATATACTTTCTACGCGCATTCTAACAATAGGCAATCTACCCTGTTCCTAAGTCTAATGTATTGGTTTTTAATTATCTTAGGTTATCATGCAGCGGTTGAACAAGGACCCCAACGCCCTCAGAGGAACTCACCATGAAGGTAAAGGGAAGAACTTCCATGAATACATCCCGTGGGAATCCCGCTAGGAGTTTAGTTATTTCGTATCACACCACTGTGAAAATGCTTCATATATGTAAGTTAAAACTGATATGCCCTCAGAGGACATCACCATGAAAGTGAAAAGAGGAACTTCCACTTCTAAATCCCGAGGGAATCCCGCTACGAACTTATTTCTTTTGTGACGCCCTCAGAGGAATTCACCATTAAGAACTCCCATTTGTGCATCCCGAGGGAATCCCGCTAGGAGATTAGTTTCCTTCGCGGTGTCAAACCACTGGAAGTTCATGTATATAACTTGATTCTGATGAAGGCTCTGTTATTTTTCTTATCTTTACAGGTCTTCTAGAGAGATTGAATGAGATGAACACTAAACTGGAAGAGATCCAGAAGTCTTTAGACATGTACTTGGAGACTAAAAGACAGATCTTCCCTCGGTTTTACTTCCTGTCTAACGACGATCTGCTGGAGATTCTTGGCCAGTCCAAGAACCCAGAAGCTGTAAGTTGACATCTAGGGTCATGATTTTACTACAGTTAAGAGAGACCTCCCTATTAACCTCTTTACCTTTTTGCGTAATATTTTCCCATTTCATACCACGTGTCATTTTCTTCAAATTTTCTTCGTTTGAATTGCATCATATTCATGTGTCTTCTCTCGTGCAACCCTTGAATAAAGAAATTATACTCTACGGAATGAAGCGTGGTCTGCTACTCTAGGGAAATGAAATGGGAAAACATTGCGCCCAAGATTATTGTCGATAATTATCTATTGTCGATGGCCCACTTTAGGTTTCTCTTTTGGTGATGGAGTTATATGTCATTTAACATTCCTCGTTAATGTAACCTACATTGATTCACCTTTAGGTTCAAGCGCATCTTAAGAAGTGTTTCGACAACATAAGGTCCCTCAAAATGGCAAAGGTAAGTACGTTTATTTTAATTGCTGGAATTCAATCAGCTGAAAAAAATCTTAGAACTCATTATTTGCAATCTCCAAATCGGCGCCAAACACTGACCACCATGTGCTGTCAGCCAGAATCAATTAATTAGTCTTTCCGTGGTTGAGGAAAACTGGGTCGAGTTGGCATTGCAGTGCATTGTGGGGCTTTTTAGGGGCGACTATTCGAGTGTCGAACAATTTGAGCAAATTTCAAAATCTTAGGAATGCGTTGTTTTATACATTTGTTTCTACAGCCCTAGTTCATGAAATTATTTTCTTTGCTTCATTAATGGATTTATTTATCCATTCCCCTATTATTGTATTTCATAGATGGGCATCACTCAAAAGACGGAGGCAGTTGGTATGTACTCTGCTGACGGTGAATATGTGGAGTTTGGTCATTCGGTTCTCCTGGAGGGTCCTGTGGAGGTATGTATCCAGTGATCGATGGAATGATGAGTGGATGAATTAATGGATAGTGGATTAACAATCATTCCATCTTTCAGGCATGGCTGTGTGACGTTGAAAGAAGCATGAGGTGGACACTGAAGGAATTACTGAAACACTGTCGACTGGCTTTGAAGAAGAACTTAAGCAAGAGAGATAAATGGATCAAAGAATGGGCAGGACAGGTAAAAACCTGTGCAGTACTCTTGTGTTTTGGAAGGATGACTAACAGAGAGACCATAGCAAACATTGCCGACACAAGGAATGAAAGTAAAAATTATACTCACAAGGCATAGCGCACTGTTTCTCACTCCACTGCAAATCCTTTTTATCTTTTTGTCTTTTTGTCATTTTCATCTTATGAGTTTTGGAAGGATGACTACCAGAGAGGGCATTGAAAACCTTATAACAAAAATGGAACCAAAACGCTTTTCTTTTAAACACGAAGGACATACCACATTTTTTTCCACATTGTTTCTCACTTCATCGCAACTCGTTTTATCTGTATGTATTTTATTAACGAGATGTGGTGTGTTTTGTTGCAGTTAACGATCACGTCCAGTCAAATCCAGTGGACCAGTGACTGTAATAAAGCACTGAGTAGCACTAAGGAACGAGGGGACAAAAAGGCATTGAAGAGCTTCAAGAAGAAACAGGTAAAACAGATACTAGAGAAAAACGTTTGTGCATGCGTGCCTTTCAGCACGTTATCTAAGAGTTTTAGTGAGAAAATAAATGTTCGTTTTTTTCGAGTATACAAAAACTTTCGTGAGCACACTTTTGTGATATCAAGATACTGTATTAATAAAGACAACTATGAAAGAATGTTACAAAAACTTTCGTGAGCACACTTTTGTGATATCAAGATACTGTATTAATAAAGACAACTATGAAAGAATGTTAAAGTTTTGGCATTTTGTGATGTCCATTTGTCAGGCATGTTTGAAAGTCGAAACCCGGAAGTCGTTTTTCCATTCCATTGACGTCACACGTCAAACGTTCTATTTTGATATGGTTGCAAATTGTATTTTCTTTTCCATAGGTTTCGATGCTTAATAAATTCTCCGAAATGATTCGTGGTAACCTAACCAAGCTTCAGCGTCTTAAGATCGTTGCCTTGGTAACCATCGAGGTCCATGGCCGTGACGTCATCGAGAAGCTCATCAAATCAGGATGTAGTAACGTGTCTGCGTTTGAATGGCTCAGTCAGTTACGTCTTTACTGGGACAAGGTATGGATATTAGGAATTTTGTGGCTACCTTAAAAGAGCATGCATGTCACTGTCACGTGAGTAAGATATATGACGTCATACGCAACCTTAGCTTTGCTTGTTTATATTGACATTTACTGAGCGTTTTTACATTTTCTAGGATATTGATGACTGTGTTGTACGTCAAACTAACACACAGTTCCAGTATGGTTATGAATATTTGGGGAACTCTGGACGTCTTGTCATCACCCCCCTGACTGACAGGTTAGTTTTGCTTTGTTTTACCAGGACGCGTTGAACTGTAAAGTTGGTGCTGGCAATAATGAATGATGCTGATGGGGGTGGTTATGTTGTTGGTGATGATGATGATGATGATGACGACGACGTTGATAAAAATGCTCGATGATGCTTTGCTGCTACTGATTGGTGATGGTGATGATGATGATAATGATGGTCGCGATCAATGATAAATGATGATTGAAGATGGGGATGACAAACGATGATAGTGATGATGATAAATTGATGATTATATTTTTGGCATCAGGTGTTACATGACCCTAACCACCGCACTTCACCTTCACCGTGGTGGTAGCCCCAAAGGACCTGCTGGTACAGGCAAGACTGAGACAGTAAAGGATCTCGGGAAAGCATTGGGTAACTACGTCATCGTAGTTAATTGTTCCGAGGGTCTTGACTTCAAGAGTATGGGTCGTATGTACAGCGGTTTAGCTCAGGTATATTCCTTACTATAATTACTCTGTTACTTTCTATTTTCCTTCCTTCCTTCCTTCCTTTAATCCTTCCAGGATGGCGTTGTGGTAAAACGCTGGCCTCTTACCTCTGAGGTCCGGGGTTCGAATCCCAGTCGTCCCATGTGAGCTGAGTTGGTTGGTTCTCTTTCTGACTCTGAGGGTTTTTCCGGTCCTCCGGTTTTTCCTTCCTCGTCTCAAAATCAACCCTAACTAATTCAAATTGGTTAGAGCTGTGCTCCGGGGTCATACATGGACTGTATAGCGGCAGCCAGAGGCGCCTTCACAAGCTTTCAGTATGATCCTGTTGAGCTGCGCCACTGCTGTACTCGCGTTGGTGATAAGCGATGACAAGTTTTTTTCCTTTTTCCTTCCTTCCTTCCTTCCTTCCTTCCTTCCTTCCTTCCTTCCTTCCTTCCTTC